AGAGAGAGAGAGAGAGAGAGAGAGAGAGAGAGAGAGACAGAGACAGACAAGACGGGAGGAGAAAGAGGGGGAGAAATGCAAGAAAGGAAAAAGTTAGAGGTGATACAAATGAAAAGTCTTTTTCCTTTGAAGTATACAGATACTTTGCCAGCACTAGTTAGGAATTAAAGAGCCCAGAGAGTTCCTGTGTCTGCAAACTGATGCTAATCTCATCTTTTAGGCAGATTTGGAAAGGAAGTCAAAATTACTATCTTTAATCAGCTGCATATTTAAGCAAACAATGCTTCACTAGACTCAAGTTTCAAAGTTGCACTAAAAATCTGGAAATATAGCTACACAGCAGGGTCTGGTCAAAATGTACACCATCTATCAGGAACTGTCTGGTGATGGTATTGCCCTGAACAAGTTTCAGGTTCTAAACTGCAAACCAGATAATGTTTTCTAGTGCACCCTGTATCTTTAAGTTAGGTCACATAAATTATGCCTTTTGTCTTTCATTATCATAGATATTCAAGGATATTTCATGTGTGGTCTTCCCATCTACATAAAAAGGAATGCCCCATAATGCTCCACTTTGGACTGCCCCTGCCCACTTGGCATGGCATGAGTGAGGACTTTCCAGGTGGCCCGCTTTGACATATTCCTTTCAAGTGGCACAGGTCTAAGGCTCTCGTAAGGACTGTGCTCACTGGAAGTCAGTACATTTGTCCATGAAGAAGGGAAACTACCTTCTACGCAGATAAAACTTGGCTGTGCTTTCAGATACTCCCAGATCAAAGAGCAACTTTCAAGGGGTTAAGAAAGGAAAGTGATAATTTTCATCATGAAAACTAGGACAAGGATGAGGACAAAGGGACCCTAGGAGGAGCATCCCCTATGCAAATCTGACCTCATCCCTCCACACTGTTCCTTTTCCCATCAGTTAAGTCCACCTGTCTTCTCAGAGGCAAAGGCCCAGGCTTGAGTTCTGGCCCAAAGAGGTATATTTGCCTCTTTCTCTCCTTTCCCCTGTGGGACATATCTAGTGCCATGCTTGGCACATAGCAGGTCTTTGTGCATCACAGTGGTCCTCTGTGCTGGCTGGGTCCTAGTTTCCCAGAACTCACAGCTGTTGGCTTTTGCTGCATTCAGTGATCTTAAGTGCCTCTATTAAGCATGTGTGCTGTGCTGTTTCTCGAGGATGTCACCCCTTAGGAAAGGGTGAGCAATCAGTGAAGGCAGTAAGTGTACACCTCGGAAAGAGCTTGACCTGGAAGAGATGAAGCCAGTGACTCAAGGAGACCAGGCCTGAAGCATCTTAGCTCTGAGAGGAAGGATCTAGAGTGAGTGGGATGTTGGAAGTTCAGGAGTTTGTTTCGTCAGGCCTGATGTCTATTCTTCCACTTCCTCTGTCTGAAAGCCTGCAGCCAGTCTGAGCAAAGAGCAGTGAGGAAACTGGCTTGTGAGCCAGAGTTGCAAGTGGCCTCCCATATGACTGAGAAAAGACAAGAGCAGAATGCTCCTGTTGAAACCCTTTGAGCATATTATATCCCCCACAGAGCTTGTCTCTACCTGGTCCTTACTAAAACCACAGAGGACCTTAGCAAAGATTGTGGTGTGTCATCCCCTGGGGGTTTTCAGGGACAAAGTGGTCACTGGTCAGCCTTTTGTTCTTGAGGGGGCACAACGAGAAAGTCCAGGGGTCTTGGTTGAGAACAGGTATTATAGTGGCCTTTTCACTGATTTTTCCGAATGTAGAATGCAGCTACCCCATGGGTTAGGTAATGCGTTTGGCTGCTTAGATTTTCCTATGTCAGGAAGATCTTGTCAACACATGTTGGGCATCTCCCCTCTGCATGGAACACTGCAGCATGCTACAAACAAGGACTCTGCCATCCCAGTAGTGGAAAGGGATGAATACCTATCGATAATGTGATAGTAAGTCTACATGGTGCTCTTCTTGCAACCCTTGTTTGTAGGTGCTCGGAAAGATTCCATTCCACAAGTCTTACTCCCTGAGGAAGAGAAACTCATCATTGAAGAAACTAGAAGCAACGGCCAGACAATCATTGAGGAAAAGTGAGTGGAGCAAGCAACAGTTTTCCTGCCTTGTCAAGGGCTACATAAAAAGGCTGACAGGGACTCCATTGAAGGATTCTTCCTTGGCATCCAGAGACACCACCCTCTTGGCTATGCCTTCATTTGGGGGCTGTGGGAGTGCTCCTCCCTCACAAAGGGGAGAAGGAAGGGCAGGAGAGGCACCCAGCCAGAACTTTCTGGAGAGCTGCATGCCCTGGCTGTGACTTTGCCAGACAGCCCTCCCATGGCTGCTTCAGAGCCCCTGTGAATCCAGTGCTCTGATGGGTTCAGGATGTGTGTGTGGGGGGGGTGGAAAGACTTGGGAAACTGGGATTGGCCCCTCACATGGTTGTGTCATTTAAAGTCTTACAGCAATCCAGTGAGACAAGAATGACTCCCACCTGTCTTACAGATGAGGGAACTAAAGTTCAGAGAAAACACTTTACAGCTCTCACCCACCATTCACATTAGGGAGTGTGACCTAAAGGGGGAAAATCAGGTTAATGCCTTGCAACTCATGAAATCAATACAAAGTAGCCAACTAATTCATTTGTTTAAATGTGAGTTATTTCTGAAGTCAGGCCTGAATTTGCATAGGACAGCACATTTCAAAGCTCTTGGCATCGCCAGTGTACTTTCGCATCTGGCCTGTGAAGTGATGTGAAATGGTAAAGCATTTGGGCTTGCGAGAGGAGGCAGTGTTCAACTTCTAATTCTGCTACTCATTAGCTGTGTGACCAAGATGAAGCCCTGCACCTCTCTGTTCCCCTCATTTGTAAAATGGGGATGATAGTAATTCTGTCAAATTTATTGTATGGCAATCAGATATAAGTATAAAGACTAACAGCCAATAAATAATGACATTTATTATTATTATTATAATCTTCACAACCTTGAGAGGGTTTCAAGGAGGTGATATTGTCTTTACTTTGTATGTGAAGAAGCAAAGACCAAAAAGAGGGACCAGGGAGATGGCTCAGTGGAATAAGCGCTTCCCTGGCAAGCGCAAGAGCCTGAGTTCAATCCCCCGTTCCACACACAAAAAAAAGAAAAGAAAAGAAAAAGAAAAAGAAAAAGAAACAAGGACCAAGAGAGGATGAGAAGAAACTGGTTACTGATTGTTAGAGAATCTAGTAAGTAGCAAGATTAGTTCTGGAACGGAGATCTATAAACTCCTTGTCCAAAGAAAGAGCCAGAGAAGAAAGACTGTTGCACAATCTTGTCAGAACACGTCATCCTCTTTTGAGGGGGCGGGCTATAATCTATGGCATCTTCCAGAAGTAGTGCCCTGGCTTTGAGTCATGTAAGGTCACTGGTATCAGATTAGCAGGAAGGGCAGTACCATGGTGCAGCTTCTACAGTATGGCCAAGGTCTCAAGATACCTTTTGGTACACATTAAATGATATTTATTCATGTCCTAAAGGTACACAAATCAAAGCCATAGGATGGGAATCTAAAAAAGTTCAACCTTATAAAAGCAGAGAGAATTACAGTTGCCAGATGTTAGGTAGGGGTAAAGGAAATGGGGAGATGTTGGTCAGAGGTAGAAAGTTTCAGTTATGCAAGTTGGAAGGAGTTTTGGTAGACCTAACATACACCATGGTGACTCTAGTTAATGACACTCTCTTGTATACATTAAATTTCCTAATAGCTCTTAAGTGCTCTCCCTGGGAACACAAAAAATAGTGACTATCAGGTGATGGGAGTGTTAGTGAACTAGATTGTGGTCATCATTTCACAGTGTAAACATATATCAAAGTATCACGTTACATACCTTAAAAATATACAATTGTTACTGGCCAATTGTACCTCAAGGTCTAAAAAGAAAACCCTTCTTATGGCCCTGGTCTCATGTTTCTTGGTCACATAAACTAGAAATGATTAGGAAAAGAGGAAATCTGTATAGGAGAGGTGCCAGAACACAGCCTTGGAACTAGTATATGTGCTGGTAGATTGTCCTCTCTGAAAAGAGAGATGAGGACATTGAGAGCAGGACCACTCCCCATCTGCTAGGAAGTCCACTGCCTCAAGCATCTGTATTTTTATGGAGCTGACTACTACTCAATACTTCAGTGCTAGCCATTCATCTCCAAACTTTTTTTTGTGTGTTCTAGGAGCCTTGTCGATACTGTTTATGCCTTGAAGGATGAGGTCAAAGAACTGAAGCAGGTAATAAAATAGAAAAGTCATTTTTCCAGATTAAAAAAAACACTCTGTCTTCCTTGCCAGCCACTAGTAGGTGCTGTCAGGAAATGTTCAAGAGCAAGGTGGTGGTGGGAATTTTTGTTTCTTGTATCATCAAAGTGGGTTTTATTGATTTTACATGTGACCTTAGGTTTAAATTTCTGAGTCTTGTTTATAATCCTACTTAGAAGTTTACAATAGGTCCCAAACTTAGTTGTGACTTTTCTGTTCTCTGATGTCTAAAAACAGTATGTGAGACAAGGCGAGTCGATCATGGGTACGTAAGTGCACATGGAACTCTAAAGCGAAGTTTGTGGGTGCCCCTGCAGATGTGGCCTGTTGCTCCCTGATACACAAGCTACCTGTCCACGAAGATTGTAACTGCTGACAAGGAGGAGGGTGTGTGAGGAAGGAGAAAGCAGATACTGGAAAGCCACTCAAGAGGCTGTTAGACAGCTAGGATGAGGCACCATTAGGTCCTGCGCTGAGGCAGGCCAGTGAGGCAGTGAAGGCGGAGAGCAGCTGTGAAGAAAGGCATAGTGCAAAGTTTGGACTCACAGGATACGATGACATGATGTTGGGATCAAGAAAAAACTAGGACTAAGAATGAAGTTTTCCCCCTAGAGTATCTAGGTTGGTATGGTGGTGCCCCTGGTGGAAATCAAGAAGCACAGGAAGAATTTGAGGGTGATGGGGAAAGATGAGGAGTTCACTTTAGGACCTAATGTGCATGAAGTTCCTGTAACCTATCAGGATGAAATGCTGAGTTTGATTTTGGGATTGTGGGACAAGCTTAAGGAGATGAGGTCAGTGCTAGAGGTATTCAGGAGACCCCTTAATAGACACTTAGCTTGAAAGACAAGAGACACTAACTGAAGGAAGGAGGAAAAAAAGGAAGGGAGGAAGGAAGTAGGGAAGGGAGGGAGGGAGGAAAGGGTGAGAGAGAAAGGAAGGAAGGAAGGAAGGAAGGAAGGAAGGAAGGAAGGAAGGAAGGAAGGAAGGAAGGAAGGAAAGAAAGAAAAGGGGCCAGGCAGGCAACCTCAGAGAATGCTTGGACTGTAGGAAAGAAGAAAGTGAATGGTTGGGCAGAGACAGCTGGGAAGCAGCAGGTGGCTCCCTTGCCTTAGAAACTGAGGACAGGGAGCTCAAGCGTGGAAAATGCAGTCAGAGGTGAAAGGGTGCCCTGAGAATGACAGCAGGAGCCCTGGGATAGGGACAGGGATGCTCTACTTGGGAATCAATGAGTCCTTCCTACCACAGGAGAATAAAAGAATGAAGCAGTGCCTGGAAGAAGAATTGAAGTCAAGAAGGGACCTGGAAAAGCTGGTGCGAAGGCTGTTGAAGCAAACAGATGAGTGCATTCGAGCTGATTCCAGCAGCAAGACCTCAGTTCTTCCATAAACACCACTGTGCAGCTGGGCAGAGCGTGCCTTCAGTGGGTCCGGAATGTCTGGCTGTATGACTTCATTTGGTTCTCACTTCTTTGGCTTTTGTTTTGTGTTTGAGTCCATCTCTTTCTGTGTGTGAATGTGTATGTGTGTGTCTAAGCACACAACACATGTGCAATTCTTTGGGTATTGTTTTTTAGTTATGGGTCAGTTGGCTATTTTTGCAACAGGGGAAAAAGCAGAAAGTGGTAGTAGTTGTGGCCCCGTAGTCTCCTCCATTCTATAAGACAAGGAAAGCTGGTGCAGGCAGATGACTTCAGCACTCCTCGGATGGCCTTCATTTCACAGTGCCTCTGTAGTAGCTGTTGCCATTGACGACACTTACTGATCTGGCTGTTGTATCGCTCAGAGCAGCTAGCCATGGTGAGGTAGATATAGCCCTGACTTTCCCGTGAACACTGGCCTGTACAGATGCCCTCACTATTTACTTTACTGAAGTTAAAACTTTCTGAGTTTTGACCAGAGGAAGTGAAAGACTAGCACATTGCCCAATGATCTAGCTGTGCTTCGCTAGTCTGAGACATGGCCAGGGAGAATGCTCAGTGGAATAAATGCTTGCGTGGCAAGTGCAAGGGCCTGAGTTCATCCCCTGGTTCCGCCAGAAAAGCAAAAAAAAAAAAGTTGTTGACCTAGTCTGAGACATGCCACCCTTCAATCACACTTTTTTCTTACTGCCTTATATTGTCTGTAAGATCAAGCCAACTGTAGTAGTTTCCTTCTATGCTGGTGTACGTTTTCACTCAGTGGCACGGAAGTTGTGGTCACTCAAGCCAACACGAAACCCAGTGGCAAATTGCACTGGGCAATGCTCCTTTGAGCAGCAGAGTTGACCAGCTCTTCCCAGTGCATGCTAGGTCTTCTTCCCTACTTTTCTGGCTCATGTGTAAGTTTTCTATTCTCCAGTGCTTGTAGCCACGCATACCAAGTGCTGTGTAAAATGACATGTATGTGTTGTGCTTACTTTTTAAAAAAATGTAGTTAGACTGTGAGTAGTTAACTTTACATTGCATATTCAAACTGTGACCTTTCATCCAACAAGACAGTCTGCATTGAGAAGACAGTGTGAGCTATGAGAAGTTGTAATAATCATTGGCCTGTTTTGAATAGGACTCTAAGTGTTATTTGCAGAAACATGCTGTCAGTCCAGTTTGTATGACCAGAATGAAGGGGCTCCACCAGTAGCTCTGCTGGTTACTAAACTGATTATTTGGAAATACTTTATGCAAGTTGCTTATTAAAGCAAACCGCAAGTGTGGTGAATATCCCAGAAGTTAGAACTGAGAAAGCAGATCTCAAAGCAAGTCACAGAACAGTGCAGATCTAACTTCAGCACAACTTCAAGTTGACCCAAGGCTCTGGAACACTCTACTTCCCCTGAAGACAGAGGGCATTTAACTAGATTGGGAAGATCATTGACAAGAGGCGAAAGGCCAAGAGGCTGATGGAAGTTGTCCGACAAATACATTTGATAGGTGCCTGTAAATGTTGGTTTTGCACATGTTTAGAAACCAAACTTGAAACTTGAGACCTCCAGCTTGCTGAGAGCCCTTTTTCTTTCTGGTACTGAAGGTCTCAGGGTTCCCTAGATTCATGGTACAGGGCTGTCGTCTGCGTGGTGAGCAGTAGAAACGGCTGCATTCTCAGACAGCAGTGGACTCTTCCTGTAGTGCAACTTCAGCCAATCACACTCAGCCATTCTTGGAAGCTCACGAGTAACGATTTCTAGGAACGACTCTTGTTCTGTTTTGAAGTACAGAAATTTAGCTATGACATCTCATATCTAAGAATTAAAAACACCAACAATAATTACTTAGATGTTCACATCTGCCCTGTCTGTGGTTAGTCAATGGCTTACAATCAGTGTGCATACTATAGCTGTAGGAAACACTTTTGTGATTACAAAATATTTTAGTTGATTGCTTACAGTACTGAAAGAACTTTATTTTAAGGTAATGTGTACATATGCATGTTTTGGGGACTTGGCCTTCCTGATGAAAGGCCCTGGGTACTCTGGGTAATGAAGCTTGTGCGCTTATACACTAAACAATAATATAAAGGAAATGAAGCCATGTTAACCTGAGAGCAGTGTCTTGTAGTTGTGTTGTTTACAATACTCGACACATGGATTCTTGTGACTTTGTAATTAAGTTGCTGCCCTTAGAGGCCTTTTAGTTTCTTCTCTGTCGTCGCCCTTCTTACACAAACCCAAATTTTCTAACTTGTTTTTATTTTCGAACTTTTAAAATTGACATTTTCAATAAATAAGAATAAACAGTGCTTTATAAAATAAGTCTTTTGTTTCCTTTTTGCTAGCTGGTGTAAAGAAAGATTTCTTTTTAGTTTTTTTTTTTTAAGCTGCACTTTAGGGTCTGGGATATAGCTCAGCAGCATAAGCCCCTGCCTGGCAAGCACAAGGTCCTGAGTTCGATCCCTGGTACTGCAAAAAAAAAAAAAAAAAAAAAAAAAAAAAAAAAAAGCTGTACTTTATATTTACTTGATGCATATTTATGGTTCGTGGTGTGATGTTTCAGTATATAATACATCATGGTGTGATAACATCAGGCTAATTGTAGGACCCATCACCTCACCAGAGAGATATTTACCATATTTTTGTGATGAAAACATTTAAAATCTGTTTTGAAACATATGATAAATTATTTTTTTTGATGAGCAGAATATATTCATTGAGGAAAAGAAAGCTCCTATCCAAGAGAGGGACAAGAGGGGGACCTGAGCGGGTTGTCCCCGGGAACATATGATAAATTATTATTAGCTGCAGTTTCCATGTCATGAAACAGATCTACCTCACAAATGTAGTCCTCTTGCCTACTTGAAACTGTGGGCGCCTTGAACAGTATCTTCTCCTGTCCCCCCCACACCCCAGCCTCCAATAAGCACCCTTCTTCTCTCTACCGCTGCAAGTTGGACTTTTCTAGATCACACATATAAGAAAGTCCAAGAAGTATTTTTCTTTCTACTCCGGGCTTGTTTTGCATGGCATCATGTCCCCAAGGCTCATCCATGCTATTGCAAATGACAGAAATTTCCTTCTTTTTAAGGGCTGAATAGTAGTCCGTTGTGTCCATACAACACATTTTCTTCACCTGTTAACCCCTGGTGGATGCTTAGGTTAATCCCGTATCTTAACTATGGTGAACAGTTCTTCAGTGAATAAGGGAGTGAGGACAACACAGTTCTTTTAGGAGTTTAGACAGTTTACTGGGGCCAGAATTACTAGCTAGGCCACCTGTGGCAGGTCCCCTAGCCTAGCTTTGTTTTTCCTACTCAAGGAAACTTCTATGTCATGGTATGTGTTGTGTAGCATTGTAAAGTAGGGAGTGAATGTCATCTGCCCTTGAAATAGAGGCTCGCTTGGAAGCAGGGGCTATTTGGGGGGGGAGGTCATGGCAGTGTGTCTTTTACTTAATGTTTAAACATTCACCATATATTTTGGTTTTATTCTGATGTGCCTGCCCCTTGGGCCCATGCTCTTTCTACCACATATAGTTCTCTGCACTTGGCACCTGAAAACTCATGCTTCCACTTAGTTGTCTGCCCCCCCCCAGGAAGGTCACAAGGAGCCCTTAATTGACATATTCTGGAAGGTGCTTTTTGGTGTCCATCCTGACCTGTCCACAGTGTCTGAACCTGCCTCCTGGTAGATGTCTTCTTCCTTGGGTTTCATGACCCCATATTCAACTTTTCTGACAGCCCCCTCAGTCTTCACTGCTGGCCCTGCCCCCTTTGCCTGTCTTTGACACTTTTCCTCTTCCATCTTATTGCCTCTTTCTAGGAAAACTTGTCTACACTTACAACTTCATTTATGAAAATACTGCCATATCAGTATTTTTCCACTATGAACTTTCTCCCAAGCTCAAGACCCATGGGTGCATCTACTTTCTGGACATCTCAGCTTGGATGTTCTGCACTAGTTCTCACCCAATGTGTACAAAAACTGGACTCCTCATGTTCATTTCCGAATCTGTTTCTCCAGAGTTTCCCATGCCAGTAAAAATACGCTCAGCACTTATACATCAGTACTTTATAAGCCTTGTCATCAAGTCTTATCATTTTAACTACTGCATTCCCTTAATTGTTCCTCTTCAGGGCTGGCCAAATAACTCAGCGGATTACGTACCTGCAAGCAGGCTCAGGGGCTGGGGATTCAATCCCCGTGCCACCTCACCCCCAGGGTGTACTGAGCTGGCAATTGAGACTGGGTATGGTGGCACGTGCCTGTAATCCCAGCACTTGAGAAGCTGTAAACAGGAGAATCATTACAAGTCCAATCTAGTAGTGAGACCCTGAATACCCTGTAGACCCTTCCCTAAAAATACAGAAAAAAATTGTTCCTCTTCATAGTCATGAACATTACCCAGTTTGGGCATCGGCATCTCGCTCCAGCACCAATATACCTCCTTGTCTCTGTTGTCTTCCCTATAATACTGGTCCTTGACCTGCTGCAGCATTTACAGCAGGGCCACAATGTTTGTATGGTGGATTTCTAAAAGACTACAAGCCAGCCAAGGGTAGGGACTAGATTACAGTAATCTCTGTGTACCCCAGATGCATAACACAGAACTTTTACCCTTCATCAGTGTTAATGAGTAGATGGATGGGAGGGAAAAACTGTAACTCCCCAGTACAATAAAAGTGAGTCAAATCTAAGGTGTATTTAAGATTGCATATTAGACTGAAAAAAGAGATCTACAATTAGAGAGGTACAGAAGGTAGAGGTAGAGATTATGAGCAAAAATTGTTAGACTTTAAATTGGATTGTATCAGCAAGAAAAATATAAACTGACAGATACTCAATAGAACTCCAGGAATTGTAGACTAGAGGAAAAAATGACCTGTTAAACTAATTTTCCTTGGGATTACTAGTGTTTACATGGCTGCTCAGAGGAGTGTGATACGTGAGAGTTATGTTTGCGTGCTGGCACCCCTTAGATTGACAATCAATGATCATAGTCATCTGAAGAAATCTTCTTAAACACAGAACTGTTCAGTCTTGCTGAAAATTTAGATAACTTCAAGCTGCCAATGGTTGTTTCTGCCAATGCAATTGCAAAAAAGGAGTCTTTGCTACAGACAGATCTACTTTTTTTTGGGGGGGGGGCGGAACCGGGGATTGAACTCAGGCCCTTGCGCTTGCCAGGGAAGCACTTATTCCACTGAACCATCTCCCCGGCCCCTAGATCTACTCTTAAGATTTAATATACCAGTGCTTCCATAACTGATCCTGTTCCTTTTGCTTTCCCCCTCTTGCTCCTCTTCTCCTGTCCCCTCTGCTCTCCTGCTCCTTCCTCTCCCTTTTTGCTTTCACTTTGCTTCACATCATGTGTGGCTCATAGCCTATTGTTGCCTGGCCAAGGCTGCTTGGATACCTGGGCTGCCAGCTATTTTTGGTCTCAGAAATTTTAAGCATTTTACGCTACTACTTGCCTACTTGCTCAAAATGCAGCCTGGCATGCAAGGAGCACATGGAGACCCACCTAGTTGCTCTCTATATGCTGATCTGTACTAGAGTAGATTCTGCTGAGACTTCTGTGCAGCATCTCCTCACATCATCATCTACCCTGAGGAGTTTTCTTATCATACCCATTCTGCAGATGAGGGCTCTGTAGCCCAGAGGAGGTGGAATGACTCACCCGCAGTTACAGCAGTTAGTAACAAGCAGAACCTAAATTAAGACAGAATCTGCCCGGCTCCAGTCTTAGTCACCATATTACAATGAGTATTTCCGGTTTGGTTTTGTTTTTTAAAATAGGGATGTGGTTTACAAAGAAAAAAATAACAAAAATCATACTTAGTTCCATGCTTCTGAGCTTCAAGTGCTTCTGTGCATCTTCCAATGCAAAGGTATCAGATCCCGTGGAAATAGTTGACTGTGGCACAGAGTGTGTTGGGTTTGCTCTTCTCTTGTCTGCCTTTAAAGTAGGGGCCTGAGGAGGACAGCTTACTAAGGTAGACCATTTGCATTTCGTAGTCACTTGCTCCTTATCAAGTAACAAAGACAATAACTACAGTGTTTATTTTGTGTTTACATGGAAATAAACATTGTGGGTATTTCTAATATTCTTGCCCCAGCTTTGGATGTAATACAAAATATCTTGCTTATAAAAATGGACCTAAGTGAGTTTATGATCACAGTATTAGATCAAAATGTGCCTAAATCCTTAGCACATATTAGAACAATTTTTCACATGTTCAAGTAAAGTTTGGAACAAAAATCACATGATATTTTGCAAACTACCATGAAAATTATTATAAAAATATGTATCTATTTTTAGCTACAGTATAATTCTCAGTTGTTTTGTACTCTATGGAGACATGTTTGTAATTTAGATTTTTTTTACCTAATGAAGGTTTTTATGCTATTTCAAAAATTTGTTTTAACTAGTGCACAGATTTCATGGATTATTGAGTTACACAAAGCTGTGTTTATTCATTTATTCCTTCATGCAACAAACAAGGGCCCAATTCTCTGCCAGTCCCCATGGTAGACACAGAAGTTACCATGGTGATCAGGTCTCGGTCCTCATGAAGCTCAGAGCACAAGAGGAAAAACCTCAACCACAATAAGTGTAGTGTGCAGTGGGGGAAGGGAACAGAGCTTACAAGCGAACAGCACGCCTCGGTCCTAAGGAGGCAAAGTGTTCATAACCTTAGACATTATGACACGTACGAGCAGGGAAAGCATATGTTCATTATTTTGGTCTTTAATCTAAGGTCAGTAAGAAGCAGGGGTGTGTGGAAGACAGTGGATCTGTGGGCCTCAATTCAGTGTTTAGAGACACAGGGAAATTCTAAGGAACAGGTAAAAATTAAAAGTATTGGATCACTAGCATAAAATTGGTAATTAAGACCACAGGGCTAGGGGAGACAGTCTGTGGGAAGCATGCAGGACAGAAAGAGAAGAGGGTAAAGGATGGGACCTGAAGACCCTGGGACGGGTAAGGGGAGTTTGGTAGGAAGCAGTCTGAGAGGCCAAAAGCAGTTGGCTATGCGAGGCTGAAGCTTCATGCAAAAGGGTGAGCTGGAGCTACAGGATCTGGCATTTAGAGCATCAGACACTACTGGGAAGAAGAGCAAGCCTAGAAAATACAGAGCATTTCTATGTCAATAGCATTACTTTTGCTAACAGATACTATTGGCACCATGGATACTGGAGGTAGAATCTGGAAGAAAATGATTCCCAATGAAAAAAGAAGGCAAGATACACTGAATGATATTTCTGTCTGTAGGTTCTTCTCCAACTTCTTCCAATTTATCTTTAC